TTCCTGAGGGGATAATTAAAGATAAAATCCACTTAGCTTTATTAGATAGATTTATTTATTAAACCTTTTGTGGTGTTCAGGTCTGTGGGACCCGTTTACATATTTTTATTAAAAGAAAAATGATACAATGATTATTTTCAAACTAAGACTTTTTGGTTCATCCGTTTCTATTTGCATGTTTTCTAAACTAAAACCAGGCTTTGTTGGGCTGCTGGATAAAACCTGGAACTAAACGCTATTTCTGACATTTTGAATTGAAAAATCTTCCTGGATGGAAGAGAAACGTCTGCAAACAGGGAAACAAAGTCCAGAGGATTGATTTTAACTTTTTGGAATGACTCTGATGAGCCACACACTGGGATGAGCAGAGGCAAATATTTAGCTCCACATTAACCCTTTATAGGACACTCAGTCAAATACTTTGAAAATCTAATTTCAAACCAATAGTTTTATTGGAATCAGGACAAGGCCTTATTACTTTTGGAACAGTAAATAAATTATGGCTATTTTCACGGTAAAAATTAATGCCAATGTAATAAGAAGAAACGTCCAAATATATTAAGAAAAATAAGAAAAGTGCTTCTAGAAGAATTTCATGAAAAACAATCAGAGTGAAAGAAACATTTTTTTGGTCCAACATAACCTTAGAGGCATTAATGCTGATACTGGCACTAAAATTTATTAGTTTATAAACCTAGATATAATTGTTAGCTAGGTTTATTAACTTTAACTTTTTACCTCTTTTTCATAACTTGTTTTTTCACCTTAATTTCCAGTAACTATTATATCATTCAAGGGTTCATCATGTTTTTAGTCTGACTCCACCTTTCACTGAATTACAGGGTCTGACCAGGAGATGGCGCTAATCTTTAGATCTTAATGTCCACAAATCAGAAAGAATATTTTAGTACAAAAATTGATGTTTAAAAAAGAATCAAAGAAAACCAACCAGGAAAATGGGGAAATTTTGAACGTCTACTTCTGTAAAATAAAGTTGAAACTCGAAAACATCTGAATCCAGCTGGGATCCAAGCAGTAATGATGAAAATTATTTTATTTAGTTCATCAAAAACTCATCAGAAACAGTTTGATAATAATTTCTTATTTTTATTTCATATTTGAATATAAATCTCTGTCAAAACCAAAAAAGACTAAATGAGACAAATCAGACATATTTACAGAATTTATAAAAGGAAACAACCTTTTTTCTCTGACGCCTTCATTCATATTTAGAACATCTTCAGATTTACAGAAGGAGAACATTTGAAATGAGGCAGGAAAGGAAGCGACCCTGAACCGGCGACTGCAGAGGAAACCTCCAGCTTCAGTGGAATATTTGGCATGTTGACGGTTAAATGGCACCAAAGTGCTTCAGCACCGATGCATCGACTCGCTTCCAGTTTAGTGAAAGAAGGCTACAGCTGAACAGAAACCAAACTAAAGACGATACGGCGGATCGGGGGCCGAGGGCCCGCTGAACGGGGGCCCGCTGCCACGCCTCTGCTTATGGCACAGACAGAAAGGAAACAGAACCAGGCTTTTTGGTTTCTGAGGTCCAGACTCCACTCTGAACCCTTTGTCCTCCACATCAAACCCACAGGGGGAGGCAGGAGGCGGGACCTTCTGGAGAAACGTGTTGCATCACATCCTGTGGGTTCCAGAACGGACCAACAGAGTCCAGGTTCTGGGAGCTGGAACCTCTGGAAGGTGAGGTGGTACCAAACACGTCCTCTTCCTGTAACACTGCTGCAGCAGAACCGTCACATCAGACCGCCTTCACACCTGGAACTTTCACACGTTTTGTGGCGTCAAAAACAGAACCTTTGGTGGAAACTGGGCCCTCTGTCAGACCAGCATACCCCATCGGACCAGCGTATCCCGTCGGACCAGCGTACCCCGTCGGACCAGCGTACCCCGTCGGACCAGCGTAACCCGTCGGACCAGCGTACCCATAATCGATACTCATTTATCCCTTTACTTTTGTACAAAAAATAAACTTTAAACTACCTTAACGGACGTCTAGCCCGTTAGTATGTGTAAAAAAAACAAAACAAATAACTTACTTTATTGGTTTGTTTTTTTAACCGTATAGCGATCTGACCTTAAATTGTTTTTTCTTTGTACATGACTAAAGGGATAATCGCCCATTGAGGAAGTTTAAAGTCTATTTTTTGTACCAAACTAAATGAATAACTGGGTATTGACTGTGTATGCTGGTCTGATGGGGTATGCTGGTCTGATGGGGTATGCTGGTCTGATGGGGTATGCTGGTCTGACAGAACAGCGGCATCTGGCCCCCTTTACTCTGACCCCCCCTTCATTTTTGCTCCTTTCAGGTTCTGAGTTTTTTGGCATAAAGGATAATAAAGTTGAACCCGTTGAAACTCCAGATGAAAAATAAAAGTAGAATTTGGCTTTTTTTATTCAGTAACATGCTGAGAATAAACAGAACCTGCAGGAATCAAACAGCCGCAGCGACGGATCCATTTTAAAGCCGTTCTGGGGACCATTAATGGCCCCTGAGCCAGACTTTGGACCCCCTGCCTCAGAGACCCTGATGGAGACCGAGGGCCATCCCTCTGGACCCCACAGCAGGAGCCAGAACGGCCTAGTCAAAGTCCAGACCCGGGACTGTCCCTGCAGGCCGTCCTGTGAGCGTCTCCATCCCTCCCAGAGATCCCACTGCAGATGCTGGTTGTAACGCCACATAACGTGCGGATGTTCGGGGCCCCGGGGCCCTTTAAGGGCCTCTGAGAAGGCGTCACATGACTCCAAACTAACAATAAATACTGCTTCCAGGGATCCACCCTGGAACGGCACCAGAACTCCCAGTCAGCTGATGGTCTGAAAGGCCGACTGAAGAGGCCGGCGGTGGTTACCATGGCAACCAATCAGCAAATTGGTTCGACGTGAAAAATGATTGATACGCAAAAAAAGAAAAAAATGTAAAAAGTGGCCGTTTTACATGAGTCAAAGCAAAGCAGATGATTAAATAGTGATTAATTAGACTGTAACTCACAGCCTGTCTAATATTCTAGATCTATACTCACTTCTCAACATTCAGTAGTTTCTATGTTTAAAGATGCAAAAACCCAACAGTAACATGTGCTGATCCGCGTGGGAGCGGCGCCGTGCAGAGGGAAGCAAAACGCTA